TCACAGGCCTTCTTCTTGTTTGCCTTTTGACTAGGTACGTTCGGACAAGGTTGTTCATGGTGTCTAGACCTGACTTTGGTTTATTGTAATAAATAATTATTTGTGGCTTTTGTTTTTCAATTTTAAAAATTTTACCACTTTTCTGCCCAGTTTACAGCAAAGTAACAATTTTCCCTTTTTCGGGCAGTTTATGGCAGTTTCGGGCAGGAGGCTAACACAGCTTTATGTTGATAGGCAAATTTTGTTAAATATACATCCCTACTACGTGTGTCTACTAATTCTTGAGGAAGTTCTGGTTTATTTTTTGGAATTGTTCCAAGCCTGGTTAGTTTTGCTTGTCCAGTTTTCTTGCATAATCAAGGCTTGAAAAAAAAACTTGTCGATAGTCATATTTCTTTCTGATCTTTCCAATCTATTTGCCATCTCTAAGACAACTCGCTTGGCTTGGTTGCGTTCATGCTGGTATCCGGTTTTACTACTATACATTTGGTAATTATAAACATATGACGGTTGACTGTCGCATGCTGTCCAGATCTTTATCCCGTACTTTCCTGAAATTGCACTGAATCTGTTTCTGCTTATAGTTTTATTGAATATTGAGTGACCATCTTCTATATTCCATAAATTCTTGTTTCCTTTGTTATGAGATTTGTAAACTCATGCTAATATCAACATTCCAATAAAACGTAGAAATTTCTTTGCATCTATATTTTTTCATAAATATTCATGCTTTAGTTGACCTGCTGCCTTAATCCATTGAACTATGTGGTTTACAATATTATCTCTAACAAATAGGTGAAAACTACTAGAAATTGTGTCAACGTTTTGTTTGTCTTCTTTTTGACGCAAAACATTTCGTTGCCTGGCTACCCGTCCTTTGTTTCTGGCTCAAAGAACCATTTTTCAAGTTTATTTTTTTAATTTTAGTACAATATAAATATATCATATCTTGTCATTGAAAATGGAAATAGAAACTTATATGTAAAAATAATTTTCTTGGCCATCATTATCACTAGATGTAGATTCTGTAGATGTAGAACTACTAGATGTAGACCATCCTCATCAACTTTACGATCACTATCACATTCTTCCAACCACTTCAGCAAAAAATTTCCACACCTTTCTCAACTAAGTGAACCTAACTTCTTCCAGCCATATTACTAAAAGAATGAGCAAACATAGTTCGCATTGTCTAAATGCAGAACTTTCAATACTTAGATAGAATTAGGGGAAGCACCAGATAGGTAAGGAGAAGTAGGGAAGTGAGTGATTGCTATTAAAAAATACGTGATTTTCTATGACCCACACGAAAATCGGGGAAGCACCTTACGAGCAGAGAAAACTTAACACTTTACTCTCAAGAAACGTTTACGCCTTAAGAAAATATCAAAAGAAACAACAGAAATGGGACTATTACGTGGGACTTTTTAATTTTCTAGCAAAATTATGCAAGCTACAAAAAAGTGATTCATCTAAACATATAAAACAACATATTAGAAAAAGTCAAAATTTTTTAGAATTTTCAGTAAAATATTTTTAAGAGAAAAACACTTTCAAATTTCTCATGGGGTCTGTGACTCCGTGGTATTATAACGGTTAATAAAAACAAACAAGACATGTACAAATTGAATAAAAATCAAAACTTATATAAAAAAAATCGCAGAAACCCTACCCAACGTAAAACTCTCCTAAAACTAGTTAAGAAGTCTAACTACAGAAAAATTTTAAATAAAAAAGATACCAAAAGAAATTGAAAAAATAATTAAAACCAAAGAATGGTAAAAGAAGGAAAAATTTCTACTACTTCTATTGGTTTTCTATCTTTTTTCGTGATCTGCCAAACTTAGATTGTCAATTTCATTTCTTGTCTAATATCTTTAGACCATAGTAGAGAGTTTAGAATGTTCACCGCTTTTTTTTCCTGCTGCGTTCTGTCCCGATGTCTCTTTTGGTAGTGCCTTCTTTAGATATTATAGATCCAAGATATTTATATTAATTGCATGTTTTTTGTTTCTAATTTCTAACTCTGGTTCTACTTCATCATCTTCTATTGTAAGATACTCTGTCCTTGATATATTCATATTGAGGCCCCATTTTTCATATTTTTTCTTTAGTTTTCTAAACAAGTAGTCCATGTCTTCCTCATCATTCGCTACGACTACCTGATCATCTGTGAAAAATAACGTTGTTAGACATTTACATTCCGGATACTTGTTTCCTCCACTTCTCTAGCGATGATTGAATATATATTTTAAATAAGGTCGGAGAAAGACAACATCCTTGTTTAAGCCCCTTTGTTATTGGAAATGATTCAGATATAAAGTTTCCTTCTTTAACGACATTTTTTGCATTTTTGTATATATTTGCGGTAGCATCCACATACTACTGGGACCTGCTTTCGTCAAGGTTTGAAACAGTTTTTTCAAAGGTACCGTATCGTATACCTTCCCTAAATCTACAAACAATAAGTGGGTAGATAGATTCCTTGCCTTCCGTTTTTCGATTATCTGCTTCAGAACGAATATACCATCAGTGCACGATCTTCCTACACGAAATCCATTTTGTTCTTCTATGTCTTCGTATTCTGATTCTATTATTTCTTTTATTATTCGACTGTACAACCTCCCCACTGAGTTGATAACACTTATTCCCCTATAATTAGAGCATTTGCGTTTATGTTTATAAACGCAAATGAAAAAAAAATTTTTTATCCTAACATAATTCATTTCACTTGTATAGTCCACGGGGTAAAAAAAATTGCAGAAGAAATAAGAAATTTTTTTTCGTTAGTGAATGATTTTATAAATTTTATGAAAAATGTTCACGTAAACGCTCCGTTGCGGGTGATTAATAATATATATGTATATAAAGAAAGACATCCTGGTATCCCTGTGCCAGTTAAACCAGTAATTATAAGGTGGAGAACATCGCCGCAAGCATTTTTTTAACACTGCAATGAAATACAATTAGTATTGTCAGAAATTGATGATAATATTTCCGAAGCCATTTGAGAAGCAAAAAATATTAAAAAATCCGAAACTGAAATATCTACTCGGAGATATCAATAACAATTATAAATTAATAGTTACCACAATTACCTTATTAAAAAGGCAAGTAAATTTATGTGAGTCGGTAAAATAGTAGATAATTTAATGTCAAAAATTAAATCGGCATCTGGAAGTAATGGTCAATTAATAAAAAAAAAAATGAAATAGGTACATTTTTGACAATAATTCTTCTTGATGTTCGCCTGGAACATCAAGAAGAAGCAGAACTAATCTGACTTGACAATATCAAGTGTGACCTTGCCGAAACGTCGCCAAAACAATCGTTTTTCTAAAAACCAAAACTATTTAACGCGAAGTCAAACCCGGAAATATATATATATATATATATATATATATATATATATATATATATACCCGGTAGTCAGGCGACACACACCCTTCCGGTAGGGATCTATGGAGGAGTATCACCGAGCCGCAAGCCCTTATCTCTTGCCGTACTGCTCCACCATAGGCCGATCAGACACCGGCATATTCTAGTTTTTAAACTGCTGCGTTGTTAGCCTTTTTGTTTCCTGTACACTGAGCTGGGGATCGAACTCACATATCTCGCATTGAAGCGAATGAGGAGCCAGCCGCCCAGCCCGCTTGTCTATCTTGCCCGCTTGGCTATCTGACCGACCTTGGCTATCTGCTCTACCTTTTTTTAATGGGATATATTCCAAGGAATTACCAACTGAGCCAGATTTATTATCCGCTCTGAAATATGCTCCAATTACAGCTTTCGATATCGTCGTTACACAGCCAAAGTGGCGTATCTGAAAATGTGACATTTTGAGAAAATTGGATTTGAATTTTGTTGTAACTTTTAAGGTTGCTTTTTTCTTATCTTAGTTATGCGTATTCTATTAATTTGGCACTATTACACAGGCACTATTATTATTATTAAATTTTATAAATCAAAAACTTAACCAAAAAAGACAAACATTTTGAAATTAAAAAAAAACTGGACGTTGTGTTAGATACGTCAGTTTGGTTTGAATGAGTTGAATGAGTTCCAGTCAAACCATGGGTGTATGTTATCTGAAGCCAAATTTAACTTAATATCAAACATCACATATTTAAAACAACATTATGCACAATCTTTTGTAACTGCATTTATTGTAAAGGGTTTTTACACAAATATTTTGGTGGCTCAGGCATGTCAACCTAGTGTTTTTTTAAACCTGATGATGGAATTGTAATTCCGAAAACGTTCGTGTTTTTTTATGTGGCCCTTTTAAGGGTTTTTAAATATACCAAATTACAAAGATTAACCTCCTTTTTTTGTGATACGTGGTATAAAGCCAGCTGCAGGAATTATTTTCCTTTTGGATTTTTATTGTATTGTCGTGATGGTTTGACGATAAATCCCTCAGTGAAATCCAAACAGAAATCAGTTTTGTATTACTTTTACCCCTTCCTCAGACTTAGAGTACCTCAAGTGGCATATTTTTCTCCAGAGTAAGCCTCGTAATTTTCCTTGTATAATGACTTGAAGTCCAAAAACTCATCAAACCTCTTTTCTGTTACCTGAAAAGGACTGGGTTTATTCCTCGCACTTCGAGTTACTTGCGCCCATATTTCCGGAGTGTACACAGGATGTGTTTACACTTTTTCTCTATTTTTGAGTGAATACTGTCACACTCCATTTCAGTATGCCCAGTTTCAAAAAATTTATGGTTTATCATTGTTAGTTCATTACTTTCGCTCAATAAATTTATAATCATTGTGGAAAAATGTAGTTTTTTAGTTGCCTACCGCAACTATCCGACGTCATGTAAACAGTGGTAATATTTTCTTGATGTAAAATATATTTCCTAATGCAGGTTGCGGTTTCGTTGGCTCCTCTTCATCCATTACTCTCGTCCCATAAAAAACACATAACTTGTTGGTTACCAAGATTATATACTGTTAAATTGTAAACTGCAAACTTTCGAAGATAAAAAATCTGACCTGCTGGTCCTTTTGGCGTATTCAGTACTGCCTGTAGATCAAAATTAAATGAGGGAGTTCTTTCTTCAGATTGAATCATTTTTTTATCCTTATCCCGTTCACCTCGAGCATCATCTCGTTTTTGGAGGTGCAGTCTGAATTCCTCCTGCATCTCTGCAGTGCTTTTACTCGCACTATGAAAATTTAAGCACTTCCTGCACTGGTCCTTTTTTGGAACGAAAAATCCAAGATTATAATCATTAAAAACTTGTCTGTATTTTTCCAAACTGACAGGATTATTTGGATTTTTTCTACAAACATTCTGTACATTATAGAAATGTTTAAACACGAATCTAAATATTTTTGGAGCTACTTTTTCTACAGTAGTGTGACTCCATGACAGAAAATGAATTTATATGCATTCTGATAATTTTTTTCGTTGACGAAAGCTTATTACCAGGAGTATGTTTGTCTCTTTTGTCAGATTCTACTAATACATTATTCTGACTCTCTTTTAATGCTGTTCTAACCAATCTCTCAGTAGCGTTTAATGTTTTAAGAAAAGTCTCTACAGGCTAGTCTTTTTTCAACACCTACTAAAAAGTAATATAAGTTTGTAAACTGCCCTTTAGAGTTCACAACATAGTTATTTTCTTTGGCTGCTGCTTAATCAGTTTACTTAAAAATTGCCTCTGACTGTCTATATTCTCGAGAGATCTATATTCCTTGTAAATCTGTTGTCTGACTGTTTTGGCATTGCGAAGAAAATGTAAAATCATGTAAACATGCAACAAACCCCAAACTAGCCAAATTTGCAGATACGCCACTTTGGCTTTGTACCGACGATATATATTACGTTCATTTTCAATGTACAAATTAATTTTAAGTGATCAAAGATAATGATCATAGTAAGATCAAAAATATTGAAAAACATAGTTAGTTTTAAGACCGAAAATATTGAAAAACATTTAGTTGTAGCTATTACCGATAAAGTTTAATTGGTTACAATGTTTAATTATCAATTAACATTATTACGTTAATATTCTAATAATCTTATGCTGTGTAAATATACTTGTGTTAACTTAATATTAAGCTAATTCACTTTGCATAATAAATAATAAGTTATTGGGCTATATTGCCTATGCGTTGCCTGTATGTTGCCTATTAAAGCATATAATTTAATAAAAATTTTAGATTTTTTAATAAAAATATTTGCCTATATAGGTACGTATACATATGCGCGCCGCTCGGCGCGCGCGCTGTTCGTTTGTAGCATGTTTGTTAGGTTAGTACGTGTTTGCAAGAGGCGCACAAACGGCGCACATACGGCGCACTACGATCCACCTTGTATCGGTTTTTCAACGAACACTTTGGTGGTTCGCATTACATATTTGGACGGGTTAGTGAAAGGTGTGTTGATTTTTGGCGCGTCTGAGTATTATAATAGTATATTATCTACAACATGATTATCTACAATTACTAAACGTTCGTCAGTTTTCTTTGGATCGCGGAAGGTTCGTCAAAATGAAAAATTTCAACGAACATTGAACGCGCCACGAACGCGCGGCGCACACAAGGCGCGAGGTTCGCGGCGCGCATATGTATACGCACCTTAAGGCTCCTTTTTCTTCACTTCTTGTTGCCTATAGTTTCTATAATCCACCCGTTTAAAAAATATAATTCAAGGACGCGTGATCAGTGCATGCATGTAGTGGCCGGTCATACGATGCGACGCATCTAAGAACTGTTTACACTGTCATTATTTGTGTTTTGCATTTCCGCTGGTGAGTTTTGTTACGCAGTCGTCTATTTTTTGTATAATTTACGCGTACGTATATTAATTGTAATTTTTGTGTGGGTTGCTTTGATTAAATATGGATGAAACCTTTCACCTCCAAGAAAAAGATAAAAAAACAACATTTAACTGTTGAGGAAAAAGGTGTAATAATGAACACTTATTGGCGACGTGCAAGTACTTGGATGTAATACGAGAAACGATCGTGCGCGAGTAGCGGAGAAATCTTGCATTTTTTACTGCAAATTTCATAGATTTCATAAATTCATATTGTCAATTGTCATATTTCATATTCGTTTGTTTATTTACACCTTCTGTCACTGAAGAAAATGGGATTTAGAAAATGCTGTGTTATAAATTGTAAAAATACAACAAAAAATTGTCAATTTAAGTTTTATTCGTTTCCAACTTCGAAGCACAAATTACTACAAAGAGAAAAGTGAATTTATATCATAAAAAAGCATAAGTAACATAACCTAAATTATGCATTATTCTTGCGCCCGATTTTAAAGTCAGTTTGAAATAAATAATAAATAAAAGTTCACTTTTAAGTGTAAATTTTAGTTTCATAACACTCACTTTAAATTTTATTTTTTTTGAAGTTTACAAAAATGCATCAGGTTCAAGTTTTTCTGAAGATGCATTAAGATATATTCGCTGTCCAAAAGTTTACAGGGAAATAATTAATTGTTCAAACAAATATGATGATATCATGGGCTTCTTCTTCTTCTTCAAGTGCCGTCTCCATCAATGGAGGTTAGCGGTTATGGTGGCAAACGTTTGTCTATCTTCAGCTGCTCTTAAGAGTTCCTCAAATCCAAGTCCTGTCCAGTTTCTGATATTGCGTAACCAGGACAATTTTTTTCTTCCAATTCCTCGCTTTCCTTCTATTTTGCCTTTTATTATCAACTGAGGGATGTAGTATTTCTCGTTGCGCAACAAATGCCCTAAATAACTGGTTTTTCTTCTTTTGACTGTTCTCAATAGATCTTTTTCTAATCATGGGCTTAACCTGCTAATTTATGCATTAGCATTATTTATGGTAATTTATTTTTCTTAATTCTTCTATTCTTTTTTGACATTTGCCACTACTAAAGCTTTTCGATTTGACTCAGTGCTTGGTTGAAAAGTTATTTGGTGATTTACTTTCTCAAATCCAGTTTTTATAATTGCATCCATATTAACAGTAATGCTGTAATTTAATAATACATTTATTTGTATTTACACTACATACAACGTTTACCTTTTAATCACATACCGACATATCCTCAATCTTACTTTTTCTTCTTATTCTTTTTTGGGGCTACGTCCTTGACAGTTATCCGGTCACCTCGATCTATCATAAAAGCGCAGTAAATTTTGTTGATTTACGACACCAGGTGTCGCTGTTCCGAACTTGCACGGTCCCAATACAAAAGCATCCCAAGAGTTAGTAAAACAGAAATGCTGTCAAATTCACTTCTGAGGTTACAGCTAACTATTAGCATTATTATGTCAACTTATCAACAATGATATATATTTATATTTTAGGTATCAACAAGTTATCAGTATACATATACATGTATTTTACAAAAACATTGTAAAAATAATGTTGCATTTAGACCATCAAAATCATAACATAAAGGGAACAAAGTTCTAGATGAAGTTACAGATGAGCACATAAATAGTTTACAGTTTCTTCTTGGATAATGAACTTCCAAGAATTCAAACAGAAAATTTCTAAAAATCCTATTACCCATAATTTAAGGAAGACTACTTTGGGAAAAGTATGGAAATTAATTAGATTTCGGTGAGTATGATTTTTAATGTTAACCCTTAACTACTAGGGTAATAGTAATTACATAAGTATTATAAGTGGGTCTATAAGACCCAGTTTAATATTAAACAAAACAAACAAATTTTTTGATAACTTTTTTATATATAAACTAGGATTACAAAATGAAGTACCTTAAATGGTTTAAACACAAATTGAAGTTATTCTTTGCATTTTTTGCATAATTGAACACAACATTGTAAACATTCAGGCATTTTACAGTCTGCGCAAACATAGTTCTTGACCGGACAGAGATGACATCTCTTTCTTTTTCAATTTTCATTGGCTCGAGGGGGCTCAGGAATACTTAAAAATTTAGTGCCAAGAATATCTGCCGCAAGAGCTCGAATCTGTCAACCACATTGGAGTTATATATTCTTCTCTTCATATGTATAATGTACAAGCTTTGTGCTAATTTTTTTAGAAATTTTTCTCGAGGGATTGAATTTCTTTTATTTACCAACTGATATAAAACGCTGTCTTTAACACCTGCAATATAAAGAACAGCAAAAAACACTTATAGCTACAAAATAATTGACACACTTCTGATCCAAGACATCCACACCGGCTTTTGATGAATTATAAAATAAAATAATGTCGGGTTTTTTTGTTTTCTCATTACCATTATCATGGCGCTGTGTAGATATCAGTATTACACTTTTGGGTTTGTTAGGTACATGGTTAACATTAGAAGTGAAGCCAAATAAAGAAGAATCAACTGGCCTTTTTATTTGAGGTAAAAATGTTGGTGGAATTTGCCGTTTATTTTTTTTTTTTTAATTGTACCAACGTAAGTAATATCCTTTTTCTTTTAATTCACGGACCATTTCTACCGAAGTGTACCAGTTATCGCCAGTCACGTTACGTACTTCGCCATGAATAGGTTGAGTAACCCGTAACAACTTCGGTAGGATGAGAGAAGGATGATTTTGAAGTTTTGTTTTCGTTCTTGCCACTGTATATTTCTGCGTTATATAATATGTAATGGGTATTGGAATCCGCCAAAACTTGTATTTTTAAGCCATATTTAGCTGGCTTATTTGGAATGTACATTCTGAAGCCACATCGTCCCTTGAATGGAACTAACACTTAGTCAATAGTCAAAAAATATCCAGGTGTGTAGTTGTTGGTATAATTTTGTACAAACTGTTAAAATATATTAATTATTGCGACCAATTTAGTGTCTCTTCTTCTCTCAGTTCTTGTCGTAGCATCATCAAATCGGAGACACGATATTAAAAAGGAAAATCTTGCTAGAGAAATTTTATTTCAAAATAGATCTCGGTCTGTTCCATCAGTTGCCCACATTGAACGTAAATCCTCGTGTCTAGATTTAAATACTCCTTGCATGTACAGCAAACCAACAAACGCTTTCATTTCTGCAATATCAATGGGATGTCCAAAATTTTTTCCATATATCTGTAGTAATCAGAAATTTCCAAGTGCCTATAATACTGTCAGGAGTATTAGCGCGAATGGCACCTTTTACACCAGACTGAACTCTCAAAAGATTCTCTTTAGGAGCTTTAGTTCTTTTTGGAGGAATTTTCGACCATTTTGTTTTCTCTTTTCCATAGTAGTAATTTATTTTGTTTTCTTCATCCATTGCATCTTTATTTTCAGATTGGTCGGTCTCTTCACTAGATATAGTTTGCATCTGCTCTTCATCTGATTGATCCCAGTCGATATCACTTACCAAATCATGATCAATAAA